TCGTAAACAACTTTTCTATATGTTTTCACGAGCTATTTTGTTGATCACGACAATTGTGGGACACATTTTTTCATGATTATGCTAGTCACACAGTAGCCATGTTTAAGGCAATCACAATTGGATTAAACGCTTAAGAGACAAGAGATTCGTTGCAAAATTCCATAGAAAAGAATTGTTAGTCACATCATTTTGGTTGTGTTATTACATCTGCGAGAGCAAATATCTTGTAATCAGATTCTAAACTTTTCCTTTAAACAATTTTTCTTACAATTTGGTAAGAATTTTAGCTTGCTTTATAATTGAACCTGAAAAACATCCTAGCTCCTAACAACACGTTTAAAGTTAACGCGGTCGCCTTTATAGCTTAAGGGTTTCGAATCCCGGTCAGACTTTGTTTTTGAGCAGAAATGAAATTGGGTTTTTCCCGGTAAAAACAATCGTCTCAGTTTTTTATTTGGCATATTTTATCATTTTTTGAAGCAAACCTTGAATTTGTTTTTAACAATTTAAACAACTACTATATTTGACAGTCGATCTGTTATGGGTCAATTCACAAAGATTTGTATTTGTATTTTTTTTTCGATTAAATTGGTTTCGACTGATGTTTTAATGTCCTATTCACTCTGTTTTTTGTCACATGAATGGCAAAACATGTTTTTCATTTTTTAAAAAAATAATTGAGAATAGGTTGTGCTGTAAAACTTTTAAAAAAAGTTAAAAAAGGAAATTAAAAAAGTTTTATAGCTTAATCGCTCAAACTTTTTTAACAAACATTTTCTATGAAATTTTTCTTTTCAGCTCAATTGGCGTGTACTCCTCATGTGGTGTTGGCTCAAAAGGCGCTCGATGAATGATAGCTTAAGCTTATTTAAGGCTAGTCATTTTGTTTCTCGGTTGATTTTTTTTAACAAAGATTTTTTTTTTCCCGAAAAAAAATCATTTTTTTACAATATTTTCTTCGACTTAATTGTTCTCGTCTCATTTTCTTTTTACTAGAAATGCTTCTCTTACGTTGTGTGTGAGCCATGCAAAGCTCAGTTTTGTATCTGTGTGTAAATTGAAAATAATAATAAAAGATAAAATTTTGATTATAAAATTCTTGACGAGAGAAAAACAAAACAACCAACAGAGAAAACTTTTGCTAAGTAGAAGTGACTGAATGTGGTATAAACGCGTGTATTATGTGTACATGACATTTTTATGCAAGAAAGGATTTAATATTAGTAATGGTTACGCTTAAAACTAATTTAGTGGATTTTCGCTAAATTAGTTCTTTTTTGTGTTCAAAATTTGTATATTGGCGGTTTGTTTTTTGGCTCATTTTCAAAGTCACTCCAAGTTCATTACCAAATGGAGGGCTAGTCTAGCTGTTCAATTACAAAAGGGCATTTGGCAAGAGAAAACGCAATGGAAATTTTGTAATAAAAATGATTTTTTTTGCTTTGAAATCTCTGCAGAGTAAAAGTTTAGCTACAGATCTAGTTTTTCCAAACTGGGTTGCCTTCAGGGGTGGATCTAGGATTTTCTCGAGGTGGGGGGGGGGCATATTTTCAAAAAAAAAATTAGAAAATTTTGATGACTTTTTTTTTCGTCGCAGGCAAATGTTTGAAAAAAAAACAGTCAAAAAAGCCGTTTTTGGGCACCTTTTGAAAAATTTTGGCAAAAAAATCGCGTTTTTTTCGGCGCGCGCTCCCCCTCCAAGTTACTATATATTGGCGCCAAAGGCGCCTTTAGAAAAATTTTAGGGTCGGTCGGCCAAAAATGGTTTTCTGAAAAAGTATCAAATGGGGGACCCTTTGGGTCGGCAGGGGGTCGAATCCCTTTTTTTTCAAAATTTCAACTTCAAAGTTTGTTCAAAAAATTATTTATTTTTCCTGTTTCTATCAATTCATTAACCTTTCTCGAACTTATCGTTAAATTACCATTAAATCCTATTTATATGTCACATTTTATATAATATTGTTTCTAGGTTACTTATATCGCTTGTTTTTTGGCGCTATTAGATTCTCAAGCAGAACGCGTTGTATCCGCTCGGTTGAAGTGCGCAGACTGTGCATGATATATACTAAAACGGGATGTGCGAATTGTAGAGGGTTGACACCCGGTATGAAGCAGGTGGGTATGGATGGGAAAAGAATCGTAATCTGCAGTGGTTCGAATCCCGTGGTCGCCTGAACATTTTTTTCAAGGCTTGTGTTGTTTCCAGACTCAATTCGTCTTGCATTTTAGAGCTTAGTTGCCTTTTTTGCTTGAGTATTGGACGCTTTGCCTCTTTATTTAAATGCGCATTTTGAATGATGAATATACTGGTATCTAGACCAACCTCGCGTATGCTATTATTTTGATGAAACAAATTTCAAATGCGAACCCCTCGATAATATTATGTATTTAAAACAATATTGGTGCACTGAAAGAAACTTTCGAAACAGTTGGAATCCAAATTAGGACTGTAATCCAAAATTTCCACCAGCTTGCTCTGAGGTACCTGAAATCTCATAAAAAGATAGGCCAGATTTTCTACTCTTTCTTTGATAGTAATTGGAACCCAGACCGCATTTCCTTGAAACTTTTAAATTTCTCAGAACTCAGAAATTGTTTTCTTTTTTTTTTGTATCTCAAGACAAGTTTTTGATGGCTATTAGGAATTGCCTCCTGTGGGCATTTCATAGTGTCTTCCTTTCCCTGTTAGATCTTGTACATATCAATTCTGGTAGCTTTACAACGTTCAGTAATGGGAATAAAAATGAGTCCCGTAATCTCCAAGGTTACAGTTGCGATTCGCAAGAGTTATCAAATCAGATATTTTTAGTGTTCGACAGTTTCAACAAACATGTTTTTGAAATGAACGTTTTTGGTGCATACTATCGATTGATTGCCAATGTAGTAGCAGTTTTGTTTTAAGCTTATTGTAGTATGTATAGGTAATGTCTCATACATGTATGGTTCGAATCTCATCCGAGTCCTGTCAAAGCTACCCAGTGTTGCACGTTCTCCTCCCTTTCGGTTCTTTTTGTCCTTTTTTCAATGCCATACTTAATCCAAGCCGGCTCAAATTCCAGTTCTTTGCACATTGTGGGTATTTTCAGCAATTTTTACTCTTTTTTCTCAGATATTTACTCTTGCGATAAGCAAGTGTACTGCAATCGGGTTCCAGACTTTTTTCCTGTAAGTAATTTTGTTCAATGGAATCTTCTGGACTCATCTCTAGTGTTACTTTGTTTCATAATTAATTCAAATTTCATAGCGTTAACGGCATACAGCCTGGAGGTAACGTATACGCCTGGGGCCTGAGACAGCAAAGTTACTATGTTCGAATCTGACAAGGACCTGTTTTATTCCGGCCAATTTTTCGTCGGCTCAGTGATCTAGTCGTTTCAAGGGAGCCACAATTTGTACGCTCTCCTCCGCACTTTTTAAGTTGGTTGTATCTCTATAGTCGGTTGTGGTTGTATGTAGTTTCATTTTCTTCACTTTGTTATTTTCGGCTTAATGAGTTTCGGTTTGTTTTATATCGGCTTAGTAGTCTCTTGTTGCGTCGTCTGGTGCACGATTTTTTCTGTGTGCCTATGTGTGTTATGAGGGTAAAAAGAACCTAAAATTTTTATTTAGATATGAAATAGAAAAAAATGGCTTGAAGAGTTTCTGCTCAGGTATTTTCGGCTTTGTCATCGCTTGGTTAATTTTGTTCCAATGCGTGTTTTTCCATTATTGTTTGAGCTTGTTTTTTCATAACTATCATCAGTCATTTTGATAAACCTATCTTTATCGCAAGTTGTGCGAAGCTCAGTTTCGCCCCTGTGTTTATTTTTCTACCTTTTGTGTCGGCTTACTAATTGACATTTTTTGTTGGTGAAAGTTTCGAGTTAAACCAGTTTTGTGGCTTATTTTTGAGCCTATAGCCAGTTTTTGATTCCAGAAAAAAAACTTGAAAGTTTCCGTAAACTTGTAGTAGGTAAAAATTTGGTGGATCGTCATGAATCAAGCATGAAGAAAAAACATAGACAAAAAACACAATCATGAAATTAAAATTTTTTTTTTTTCATTCAAAATTTGGTATCACAATCAATCTTTGTTTTGAGTCGATTGATGTATCATAACAAAGCCTTTTCAGTTGTGATTTATTCAGTGTTGAGAAAAATCGATTTGAATTTTTTTATTTGCAGTTGAATGTCAGTTCATTAAAGCGAAGATAAGCTTCTATTTAAGCCATGACAACTTATTTTCACTCCAGTAATTTTATTTTTCGAAGTTTCTCTTAGGTTTTTGGCTCTTCCCCATCTTTCAAATAGTCCATTATTATAGTTGTTTTACGTGTTATTATGGCTAAACGAGTGATGTTGCGATGCAAGCTGTGAAGAGTATTATTTTGAAACAAAAATAAAAAAAAATATGCAAGAAAATTTTGTTTATATGTTTCGATTTCATTGTTTCTATTCATGTTTCGAAGTTATTTGTCCAATTAACCGTCATAATTTATTCGGGCAACATTCATGGAAAGAAACTGATATCGAATACGTCGAATGTTTTCATACTATTAAAAAATATCGAAGTGATAGGCTTTCGTTCGCATTCTCGTATAAAAGTGACACAACTATGAAAGAAATAAAGCAAGAAAGCAAAAAAGAAAGAAAGAACAAAAAAAGAAATTATATCACCGCAATGTGTTATTTATTAAATCAATGATTTTCTATCATATCCCAACATTGACGAGATAGAGAGGATGAACGCAACGCATATGCAATAACTACTTAGCATCTACCCATAGGCGGCAAACAATTGTTAAAATAAATTCAATGAAAAAGTTCTCGAGTTTTTAAAATAATTTTCTAATTGAGATGATTTTGATGACATTTGTTGCTTTAAAACATGACAATATATCATGATTACTGTTTAGGTCAGTATTTCTGTGTTTATTGCACAGCAACCGGCTTTGTCGAGGTTTTATCTTTCATTAAAATTTACTTGAGTTATATATTTACTTGAGAAATTGGCTGTTTTAGGACTGTCAACGGCGTGATTGGAAAGCTCACAAGAAGAGCTGCTCTCAAAAATCAAGCGAGGTTCAAGCCTCAGGAAGTACCAAGTCGAAGTTTGAGAAAAAGGTACAAGACGCCCAGCGGGTCATGACTACGAAGTCTCATCTGATACCTAAGTATGCCGAAGAGTATCAGCGAAGATATCCCGACGAAATGGGTCACGTGATTAAGTTAACCTACGAGCAGGCAAGCGCCATTTCTATTTTTGGAACAATCGACGAGGGAGGGAATGCTTTTGCGGATGAAGAGTTTGCACCGGAGCGATTATTGCAGCGATGGAGTGTAACCGACATGAAATCATTTGAGAAGTTTATAACACGAAAAGGCTTAAAATCCGGAGACATCTGGGAAAAACCGATATTGCCATACTTGACAGGGATTGATCTCAAAGGATCAACGCTCATCTTGAACCATGTGCAGATACTGCGAAATACTCCGAATAAGCAGCTCATTTTTGATTTCGGCAGAAACTACGTCTTCGTTGGCTATGTCGACATCAGCCAACTTTTGTGGGGTGCGTTTCAAAATGAACATGAAGGGTTGTTACGCTTCTATGGTTACGACCAGGCTGAAGTGACGGTAGCGAGAAGCATTTTGATCTATGAGATGATGAAAATTGGTCAGACCGAAGTTAGTGACAAAACGATTCTGCAAGTTTGGTTTTCTTCATGCTGGGATAAAGAAACAAAAGAAGAGTTTGAAAAGTTTATACAACTCAAAGTACCAAATATTGGCAATGATTTGCTCACCAAGTATGCTCAATGTTGGAACCGAAAAAAAGGCATGACAGTTAAGTTTGCCCAAGATGCGTTTGTAGAGCATCTAAGAAATTGCGACTACATACCCTTGAATAACTTGAAAGCTGAAGATGACAGAATGGCATTCGCTCGCTACCTGTTCACGGGGTGCATTTTCACTAAAGAGGATGTAGTATGTGGAAATTGTACAATGTTCCCGGATAGCACTGACAACTGGAAAAAAATGAAATCTGAAGATTTCTTCAACACAATTGATATGCTTCAATTCACGAGCGTTATAAAATCGAGTGATAAGTCTCTTATCAATGTCGTAACCTCAAAAACAGCCAAAAATTTTGAGAATTTGCGAGGATTTATTCGAGAGGGAAAATTGGTTTGTCATTTGGCTGTGAAATCGATCGACACTAACGATACGAAATGTGCCTCTGAGATCAAGAAACTGAATCCCTTCTTGATTGATTGGAGTAACGTGCCTGATTATTGGCATAGATACGACTTTATAGACTTCGCGCAAAAGTGCAGTGGACCTGAAACATTGCATCATTTCCATACAATGAACTGGGTGCAGAAAATGTTCGGAGCATCCTTCTATGATTACATCGAGCAGAGACCAGTTTTGGAAGAGATGTTCCGAAATTACCGAAAAGGTCTGAGTGCAAGCGCTGGCATGACCAAATATTTGATGCCGAATGTCGAAAGATTGATCCGAATACCACAGTTCAAGTTGCCGACAAATCTGTTCTCGGAACTAGCCGTCGTGATGTTCGGTGAGAAGTATTTGAAATATGCAATGACTGACAGAAACGGTAGAGTTCTGAACCATTTCAAAGGTCAATGGGAAGCCTTCGTGCAAGTATTTGGAGATTGCTGCTCAACCATGCAATGTGCGTTTTCATTCGATGATGAAATGGAACTGAATTACAAATATGAATAAGCATAAAAATACAACTTGTCCAAAATAGGTTCTGCGAGGCGAAAAAACTTGTGCCTAAGAAGCACATATCGTCTGAGAATGCTCAATTGATGTTTCGCGGTAACCGTTTATCTATTTGAAATGATATACAAGAAAAATTTGTGTTGGTTTCAGAGATATGCTGGTTTAAAAGATATGTTTCAGAACGCTAATTGAATTTCAGGAAATGCAATCCTAACAAAGTTTTAAAAGTCTTGAATCTTTCTTAAAGCGCCACTTCACAAGTTGAATTTGTTGTCAATTTAGCTGGCAATCCGTCTCGATGGTTGCTTTCAAAGTTAGCAGTCTTTAAAATTTTTTACAAATATCGATAAGTTCAATAGCATGATGTGAAGTTGTGGCATGACAGTTCGTAGTTCAGCAATGGAAATCCACTGCAATAGCTGAAAATTTATATGCTGATTGCAAATCGGGTACTAGACTTTTTTCCCGTCAATAACTTTGTTCATGGGATGATCTCCACTTTCAAGATATCCTTTTTCAGCATGTTGCAAGTGTAACACCTCGAGTTATATTGCTTGGAGTTAATGCGTTACTGGATTTACTGGTAAAAAAAAAGTTTTTAGATGTAATTTATTTTGTAGGCTTAATTGGTTTCGGCCGAATGTTTGTCGGTTTATTTACTGGGTGTTTTTTTAAATTCTTTTCAATTAATTGTTAAAATCAATTTTAAAAAAGCAACACAATGAAAGGTTTTTCCATTCACGTTTCGTAACACGTTTTTAAAACATGCTAAAACTTTCAGTTTAAAAGAAAAAACTCCGGAGCGATTTTTTGTTTAGTTTTATAGATTTGTTTTCAGTTTTTTTGAATGCATGGTTTTTGATTATAAATTCAAATTCAGTCAATCATCCGGCGCATGTGTCGTAGAGATAACACACTTGCTTGAGACAGCAAAAGGCTATGGTTCGAATCCGACCGGGACCTGTTTTTTGCAAACTTGATTTTTTGTGCTTTTACGGGCTATCGTCAGTCTGTCTATTTTTGTCGACTTGATTCCCGTAGCCCATTTTTTTGAAATTTAAAATTTCAAGTTTGCGGTAACACCCATGCTTGAGACGACAGAGCTTAGGAGTTTGATTCCATTCGGGACCTGTTTCTTTGCAAAATGAAAACTCAATTTATTTAAACTTTTGTGTCTGCTTATTTTGCTGACTTAGTTCCCACAGAAAAAAGTTTTTTAAAAATTCGATTTTTACTGCCCTTCGAAAAGCTCACTGTAAAGTTTTAATGGCGAGGTAATTTTGTTCCTGATAATTAGGGTTTTTGCAATTTTTTTTTGACAAAACGAATTTTTGAAGGTTTTTTTTCAATTTTTTTAATTTGATTTTAATCGTAGTCGTTCTTCTTTGAGTCGCAAGTAGTGCGAAGCTCAGCTTCGCCTGTGAGTAACAATTTCAAGTTTCTTTGTGTATTCACTACGCTTAGCCTAGAGGTAACGAATACGCCTAGGATGGCCAAGGTCCTGGGTTCGAATCTAACAAGGAACTGTTTTTTTTTCATTTATAATTTTTCTGATTAAAATAAAATTGTCGGCCTAATATCTGTCTGCATATGCTTTGTCGGCATAGTTGCCACATCTAAGAATCGTTTGTTTTTGCTGTAAACAACTTTCAGAGTAGGCTCCTTTTGCGTTGTAGTGGTTTCCTATTGCGTCACTTGAAGACCGAAAAAAAACTTTTTGAGCGTTTGTTGAGGGAAAAAGGGACTTACATTTTTTTTATTTGTTTGGATTTTTTTACGTCTTGAACGGTTTGTGCTCAAGTAGTTTTGGCTTTGTTACCGCTTGATATTTTCGAATTTAAGTTCAATCAACTATCCGGAGTACCTCGCTTAGAGGCAACACAACTGCTTGCATCGGCCAAGCCTTGTTGTTCGAATCAGGCCGGGACCTGTTTTTTTCGTTAACTGTTCGTTGTGCTTTTTCTGACTATCGTCCGTCTGTTTGTTTTTGTCGGCTTGGTTTTCGTTGCCCGAGTTTTTTTTGAAATTTCAGCTTTCTTCCGAGCTTCTCTAACACCCATGCTTGAGACCACAGAGCCAGGGGAATTACATTCCAGTCGAGACCTGTTTGGTTTTGTAAACTGAACATTTTTGGCCAATTTAAATTGTTTTTGTCAGCCAATTTTTGTCGGCGTATTTTGGCTGAAATGTTTTTTTTTGAATATTCGGCTTCGTATCTACCCGAAAGCTGCTTGTATAGTTTTCAATTGTACAGGTGTTTTTTTGGATACAATGGGCTCTCATTGCAATTTTCAATGACAACGAGATTTCTTTTCTGTTCGATTTTAATCATAGTCATTCATTTTTGTACAGCAAACTGTTGGAAGCTCAACTTTGCCTCTGTTTCAAATTTAGAAACGTTATCTTTTATTTTCAAAAAGTAATAAACGGTGTCTGGGATTAGCATTAGGAAAAATGGCCCTGTAGAGCTAATCTTAGCTCGACAATTATTTCGATAGCAATGATCGAAAAAAAACTTAATTTCACGAGAAAAAAAGATAACAGGACCGTAAACAGCAATATTTACGCTTAGGAGAGGCAAGCGATATCAAAACTGTCTTTTTCCAGGTGTCTTTTTTCCAGGTTAAAAATTTGTCTAGGATGATCAGTGAATCATTTGATTGTTTGGTTTGTAATCAATTCAAATTAAGGTCTTTTTCTGCGCATATAGCGCAGAGGCTACATCAATGCATGAGACGACAAATATCTGGGTCAAACCGAAAAATCGGTACTTGACTGAAAAACTGGTCGGACTATCTTGTGTCTGATTTTTGTGTCAGCTTTGTTGCCAAAGCGCGGATCTTACAGTTTTAGCAGTTGTAAAGTAAATTGAAAATCCATTCGATATATTCCGGTAAGAAAGCAGGAAAATTTTTTTCATATACGCTACGATAAGATGTTTTTCGAAAATTTTAATTTATTTTTCATTCTCCTTTTACGTCCGAAGAAAACAATGAATTGAGTCGACGTTTAAATTTTTCACAATTTGAAAAATTTTTTATTGTTTTTCCGGAAAAATTTTTCGGATTTGAAAGAGCTTTTCAGCTGATGAAAAAACGACTATTTTATTGTTCGGAATTTTGTAAAGAGGTTTTTACTGCTGACAAAACTTCAGATATTGTCGCCCAGTATTACATGTATATATCGTCAAATCAAGTGGAGATTTGAACTCAATACTTGGAAAATGAACGAGGGGCACTAATTTCAGCTTCATGCTTAATTGTTTATAGGTTAACCATTATAGTTGAGCTGCTCAACTATAATGGTTAACCTATAAACAATTCGGCTACAACAGCCTCTTTTTATTGCTTTAGGAGAGCTCGGAAAATCAATTTGTTCGACCTAAAAAAAGGTGAAAATTTTCGAAATTTTTTTGAAAATCCGCCCTCCCCCTCGAGAAAATTCTAGATCCGCCCCTGGTTGAGCAGTTAATATTTGAAGGTCTCAAAACCAATACCTAATTATGCAGACTGTCGTTTACTTTGACTGAAGTAGCTTTTGGCGAAAAAAAATTCAAAACTAAGATTTCTGAATTTTTACTTTTTCTTAAAGTTGCTACCTACGCACATTCAACTACAAAAAGACAAATTTTTTTATCTATTAAAGCAATTTTTGATCAATTATTTTGCCCTAAATCAGCTCAGAAAAAATTAAAAATTGATATTTTAAATACAAAAAAGCGTGCAAAATTTGCTGCTAAGATAGTTTTTATCAATATATTGACTGCATCATGAAGTTCCGTAAGATAATTAGTCACAAAATTTGTCTAGGAAATTTGTCAAAAAATTTTTACTCGGTGCCTCAACTTCCAGACAATTTATAGTGTCAAAAGTAGATTGGAAATTGACAGTAGTTTTGCGCGGTGCCAAAAATTCCAGATAATTTTTGGCTTTTGTCACTTACAGAGCAAAACTACAATGTCAATTTCTTCGTCGTTAACAAGGTCCCATCTCAAAAAGAATGCTATAGCTGCTAAAAATATACCAAAGTTTTTATTCAACTGATCATAAATAGTTTGTGAAAGCGTAAAAAAATGTTTCTGTTGAATACTGGTTGCGCTACTTATGCTATCATAAAATCTCACAATTTAACAACCTTCAATTGTCTAAATTTTTTATAAGCTCCAAAAAATCGGTAATCTATGAAAAGTGTACGCCTCTTGTTACAAATGAGCCATATGGGTTAAAAGATTTCCTATGTCATCTAAGGTATACCACCGAAGCTATATCGCCTTTTTAAATAATCGCGTTCTTCGGCAATCTGAACGCCTCTTCAGTAAATCGGCACATATCAAGTTAAAACATTGATTTTTCCGACTGCTGTTTAAAACGTTTGAAAAATTTTTTGGCAAAAAAAGATCAAACTTTGAAAAAACCACAGTTTAACACAGATCATGATATGCCTTTTTATAAAACATTGACTCCTTGCAAGTCTAAAATCGATTTCATAAAACAGGATTACTCAATATTATCATTTGGAGTAATTTCAAATGGACATTGCCCTTTATGACAAAGGTATGAAATAACTAACGGATCCTCAATAATTTTTAGGCGTCTTGTTGTGCATGATCCATATTGCAAAAAGTAAAAACAATCAGAACAAGTCTTATACCGAAAACGACTCACTAGATTTGGCGGTTAAATTTTGCCTGGATAAGAAACAGCATTAGCAAAAGTGTTCCGTCCTTTTTTCGGAAGTCAGCTAAAAGTATCTTTTTTTTGCTACAATGAAGAAATCGTTGGCGTGAGGTCAGACAATGATTGATTTTTTGTGCGGCTTATCAGTAAACTCATAAATTGTTGGGATTTCACAATTTGTATTAATATTTTGCGCTTTTTAGGGCAAGCTTACAAGTGCCAAACATTTTTGTGTATTAGACGTTAATTATGGACCCGGGTTGAAAAATGTTAGTCATACAATTTCTATATTAGGAAAAATGCTAGTCATACACTTTCCATACAATTCCATAAGTAGAGAACATTTCATGCAAGGTCTATGATTAGGATTTATTCATATGCGGAAATTGTATGACTACCATTTTTTCCTATATGGAAATTGTAAAATTAGATCTTTTTCATAAAAAAACTATAAACGTTTTATTATTAGTATTTCTTATACAATTAGAAATCCAGCAAAATGAGGCAAAAACTACTTTAATTCGCATCCCATAGGACGAGCAGTCTCTAAACAGAGAAGAAAAAACCAGAGAAAATTTGTTTTCTCACAGTAAATTTTTCTCAAACGCTGAGAAAGCGGAACAATTCTTAAACTTATCCAAGGGGACTTCATACCAGGAGTAACTGCCTCAAAAAATTAAGAAAAAACCTGTTAGCTAGCTGAGTAATCCAAAAGCAGAAACAGTCCACCAGAATTACTGCTGTTTTTCGTCTATTCAAGGCACAAATACTCTGGAATTTTTGTCTTCCTATCACATCTGACATAAACATCTAAAACAATTCCCTATAAATCACACAATTGACACTTAAGTTGAAAAATTGAAACAAACATTTAACATCAACAAAATTTTATAAAAATCCAAAACTTTACCCACGTGAGATTTATCAACTTTTGAGATTACTTTTGGAATGATGCATGAGAAGATGCAGTCAGAATTTGGCCATTCGGCCAAGCCATGGAACACAGAAACAACAAATTGTACCAATTTACAAGGTAAAAACTGTGCAAAAATTTGTTTCTGGGTGTCATCGATTGGCTGACTTTCGACTAGGTCTTCTCAAATACATATCTTCTGATGACCTTCAAAAATATTTCTGATCAAAACAAAGCGAGTTAGTCATAAACACAGAATGTTTTTTTTTGAAAATTTTCATAATGTCCGAGAAAATCTATTTTAAACAAATGAGTCATTGCAAACAATTGACATCAAGTTCAACATTGAAGTGTTTGTTCAACAATCTATCTACGCACGAATTAGAACTTTTGGATTCATTTTTAAACTAACTAATTTTGTTTCTTTCTAGAAAAATGCTAGTCATGCAATTCCCATTTATGGAATCTGTATGACTAGCATTTTTCAGAAACCAAAAAAATCCTAAGTTTTCAGTCGTAGCATCCCACATAACGCTTAATAGTTTTTCCAGCAGTTGAATTTGTTTCTCAGAGCATTAATTTTCTCAGAGCATTAAAAACTTTTATTCAAAAAGTTCTAATCATACTTTTCCATATGTAAAAATTGTATGATTGGTATTTTTTTATGCCATTTTTTCCTTCTTTTTATGGAGAGGCACCAATTTTGATAACAAAACAACAAAAAAATACCTTTAGAGTTCAGTCAAACTCATTTTGCAAAAATGTGTGAAATTTGTATGACTAGAATTTTTTCAGAAACCAAAAAAATCCTAAGTTTTTATCTAATTTTTCAGTCGTAGCATCCCACATAATGCTTAAAAGTTTTTCCAGCAGTTGAATTTATTTCCTAGAGCTTTAATTTCAAAATTTTTATTCAAAAAATGTTAATCATACAGTTTCCATAAGTAAATATTGTTTGATTAGTATTTTTTTCATACCACTGTTTCCTTCTTTTTATGGAGAGGCACCGATTTTGATAACAAAACAGCAAAAAAATTTCCTTTAGAGTTCAGTCAAACTCATGTTGCAAAAATGTATGAAATTTGTATGACTAGCATTTTTCCATAGACTAATTGTATGAAATTGTATGATTAGCATTTTCGGTCTATGAAGGTCAAATCGGGGACTTGATTTTTCAAGAAACATGGAAATATGAACTTAGTTTGCAAACTTCATTTTGTTTGAAATTAAAATCTAACTAGCTAATAAGTATTTCTTGAGACATGTAAAGGATAATTAGAACAAAATTTTTGATTCAAGAAAATTTGTGCCCCCTTGATATCCAATTGTGGTAGATAAAAATGTCAAAACTTTTATCCACCAAAACAATATCAACGAAAAAATAACATAAAATTTTTTTTCGGCGATAAGTGAATATTGCATGCATTTTGCGTCTTTGCTTATATAAAACTTCATACTGCATGCCAGAATTAACTGATGGTGGATTTTCTTATCAGTAGCCTGAAGCCATTTTAATACAAAGAGTGTCCTTGAAATGGCAGATCTGAAGTCTTTATATTGGATCGATTCTTTTTCTTCGGTTCTCATTTATTGGCAAATTTTGGACACGCGATGTCCGTTTTAGATCGCAACAAAGAATAGATCTGCTTTAAATTGGCGTCATTTTTCCGTCGCTAACGGGCTCAAATTATAATCAGATGCCTTAAATTTCACTAACCGAGCCAACGAAATTGAATTAAAGTAAATCTAGCCCTTTATTCTTTGCAGTCTTTCCTTTTTTCAATCTTTTGTTGTTCTTTTTGCAGTAATGAAGTAACAAAGCGACTTTATTTCCCAGATTATGAGCTGCAAACCCAATCGCTTACAAATAACGCAATATGCAGATTTGGGTGTCTGTATATTATTGCGTCGAAATCTCAGTCGGCCTTTTCAATTGAAAAACAATTTTTAAACAAAAAATCTAAAATATCGCTGTTGTTGATTTTATCCCTAAATATTTCTGAATCATTCAGACGTGCTTAGTAATTGCTAAACCATGGTTAGGCTGTTAGACACCTGGTTAATGTTTACAAAAAACAATGATGCAACGAAACTATAAGGTTTGTTGTAAAGCAGTCAAAAGCTTTTTAAAAAATTTATATACTCTTCGTCTTCCAAAATGTTCTTGTTCACGTTCATGTAGGCTGCATTATATCTTTTTACGCCCTTTTTATGACACGGACTTTTTGATCTGGAATGTCATTTCTGACAACTCGTTTTTCGGTTTAGTGCTTTGGGTCTTATTACAAGTTCTTTGGAATCTGTTCTCTTATTGAATTACCATTCTAATCGCTGCACTCAACACACACGTCGACAACAACTGAAGTTTTTTTTTCAATACCCTAAAAATGTTGATTCCAGATTCTTTTTCTCTCCTAATCCTTTTTTTTCGTTTTCCTGATTCGAATTCAGTGCACAATTATAACTTCTTTCAGGTGTCCAGATTGTATAATTGAATTGGATCAGACAAAATCAGAAGTCACAGAAAATTAAACAGTCTCCTGTCCTTCCGTCGGTTTTTGTCGCAGCTTTTGTCAGCTTTTTCACACAAATTTTACTTTCTTTTTTTTCTGCTTGTTTTCTTTTGTTTTTGAATAAGGCAACTTCAAGCAAAATTCCTATTCAAGAGTGTGTAAAAACATTATTATGGCGTAAAAGGTACAATTTTCCGTCCCAAAAAAAAATCTTTAAACCGCTTTTTAAGGGAAAATTTGCATATTCCAAACAAGCACTATTTGATCCATATGAATTAGCTATTTTGTAAAATCATTTTTTGGATTTAGCTGATCCAAAATTGTAAATTGCAGTTGGGTAAAGAATTTTTCGACCGTTTGAATTTTTTTTTTAAATTGACACAAGTAACGTATTACCCGTTTCTTATGAATCACCACGATAGTCAATTGTAATGACGGTGTTTCAAGCCACGGATTATCACAAAAATCGATTTTTTACGGTGTGCACCTCGGCTTGAGATCGCATTAAGAAGTTGTACAAAACAAGTACTCGAAAATAAATCAATTTGAAATTCCTTTTCAGTCCCAATTTGCACCCAATTTGTCCTATTTTTAGAACCCACCAATCTTAACTTCAATATACCCGCTGAGTCGTACCTGATTCACAGGTTTTATACCCTCTATAGCTGTGTATAACTATTTAGTGTGCCAAGCTTGTCTTTTCAAATTCATTTACAAGTTTTCACGCCAAATACTTGTCTCCAAAGCATTTCACGTGTTCTAAATTTTCGCTCCTGTTCTCCATACCTTTCAACCTTCATTCTAGCTGCGCCAGATTACAGAGTCAGACCTTTTGATAGATACTTCGATTGCTTATCAAATGGCATAATTCCCAAATGGCATAAAAATGAAAAATTTTCCAAATGGCATAAGTTTTGTGCAACAGTTGCATTAGTAAAAATCGAGAAAAAATTTTTGGTGAACAATCTGGGAAAATTAGTCAAATTGTCAATTCAAATGTTGATTGACATTTCATTTAAAAAAAATTGTATAATTTTTCATCAAAAGCGAAAAGCATATGATTGCGATTATTGATAAGGGCGCAGTACAACAGTGCCGAAAAAAAATTAGCTCAACAGTGCCAAAAATATGAACAAATTTCAACATATTAAGTGCGCCAATCAAAAATTAAAAGGCGAACATTTACAATCTTAGGTGACACTTAATGATTTTGAGCGAGAAAATTTGCAATTTAAACGTTTTGGCGCCAAAATAATTGTTTAATTTGCAGTTGCAGACATTTTGGCGCCAAAATTGGAGTGATTTTCTTTGATAATTAGCGTCAGTAATTTCCCGCTCTTTAAAAACTCCGTAAAAATTATTCTGAAATTTTCCCGCCTTTTTCGGCACTGTTAAACGCCCCCTTGATAAGCTTCTTATGGTCAACTTTTCAGACAAATTTGTCGCTTAACATTTGTTTGTAAGCAATTAATTCCAAATCTTGTTCACAGCTTTTCTTTTCTGGCAAATTGTTAGAATTAAAAATTGATAACGTTTGAATTTCAATGAAGTTTTACTATTTATGCCATTTGGGAAACGTTTCATTTTTATGCCATTTGGGCATTATGCCATTTGAGAAGTTACCGATATTTCCAGATCGAAAATTTCTGGGAAACTAAATCGAACAAAATCGCTCGTATCAGGGCGAAGCCCTGAAAGTTCTCACTGCATTTTGAGGTCAATGGGGCAGTAATAACAAGAAAAAATTGAATGTAAAAAAGAAAAACTTGTAAGAAAAAAAGATTTCTAAGACGGATTAAATCTCCGCTTACGCGTTAATAGCGCGAGGTATATCGCGCTTTAATTGACCAAAATGGCAATCTTTAAACCCCCATAATTTTATAAAAAATGATCACGAATGAAAATTTCAAAATTAAGCCCAGGATAACAATACTTTTCAATGATATTAAAAAATTTTTGTCAAATTTGGTTAGCTAAAAAGTCGAAATTTAACTTAAGAAAAAAAAAACAGCCCGAGCACAAATATTACGTTACTTCCGCTAGGAAAGTCGGAACAACAATTCCAAATTCTACATAATTAATGAATCTAAAATATATATACTCGTTTTAATTTTCAAAAAAGGTATGCTCATGCGGATCTAGAAATTTTGTCGGCCTATTCTTAGGTCGACCAAATTGGTTTCCCGAGCTCTACAGAAACATGAAAGAGACCTTATTCAACAATTTTTTTTGAATAAATAGGTTTAAAAAATTCTGTTTTTAGGTTCTTGTTGAAAAATTTTGCCCAAACAATTGCGTGTTTTAAGTATGCACTCCTCGAAACTATACATTTGGCGCCAAAATTTTTTTAGGGCTTAAATTATTTTTGTAATTCTATTTCGCAAAAAAGCTGAGGGGGGAATTTTTTGAGATGGTGAGGGAGTGGAAGCCCTAAGGGGGAGCGTCCGCATTCCAGCACCCCCTCTCTCCTCTCCTAGGTCCACTCCTGGGTGTGCTCCTTATTTAATTTCAGATAAAAATCCTAAGAACTTGAGAAGCCATGAACTTCAACATGTTGTTGTAGCGACCTATTTGTCTTTGTCTCTTAATTTTTTTAAAATCATGGTTAATAATTCTTTGACGACTTTTGTTTGATAACTAATTTTAGAGTTTTTATATGAACTTGCTTGGTAACATTGTCACATTGTCGCACTGTTATGTTAGCTCTATTATTAAAATGGTACAATAGAGCTTGAATTCGCTTTTTCGTTTACAGCGTTTATTTTGTATGCATTTTTCATAGCTAACTATCCATAGCAAACATGGAAAATTTAAGCGTTTATGCCAATTTTAAATAGCATTTTGTCTGGACCAGAAAGTACTTCCCAATCGCTTAAGACTTTCCAGTGGAACGTTTAAGACCATGGTAATAAAACTGAGTAGCAAGTTTACACAACACACTTCGACTGTTGAAGTGCAAATACTAAACGGTCCTTTGCAAATTCGACTGCCTTGTTTAATCTCAGGAAAACCTGCGGTCACCACCTCTCCTAAAAATAATTCATGTGGCGTCTTTATTGAGCCAATCTTTTCCCCTGTTTTAGCGGACGGCTGTATTCTCCCTTTATCTCTTGTAATTGGTGGCAAAATTGCCAAAAACAACTTGATCTAGAGCCAGAAGTTGTTCTCCTGTTTTACCAGCGCCAGAGCAGAACGTGCTGGAAAAGTTATAACCTAAATTTATGACTGTGTTGATATTTATTGAGACCTGTACTTATCTGTAAGCCGAGGTCGAGAAATACTTGATTGCGGGTGAGTTAATCGTGCAATATTTGCATAAAAGGTCACCTTTTGAATATCATTATTAATCTAGTCATTTTTCTAAATTTTTCTGAAGAAGTTCTTGAAATAGATCCAGGCATGACATATAAATGACTCACTATATTGCAGTAGTTCTTTAGAAAGCGCTGAAGTCCTCTGAATTCTACCCTTTAAAGGCCTAAGGTTCCCCTTTGCACTTGTCTTGACATCCATTGTTGAAAAGTGAAACCTAAATTTTCATAAGGGATATCCTTCGAATTTAAAAGCTCCAATTTAAACCAATGTATAAAAACTACACTATTTCGTTTATAATTGTACATTTTCTTCAGAAACGTTGTTTTTGAATAAAATTAGATTTTTAATAAACTTTGTTCCCAAAAGCAGCCCAAAAATTTACTTCACACAAGGTCTTGTAACTTTTTGAGGAAAATTCTTAAAACAATTCAATTTTCCGAGAATAAAATGCTCTTTTTGTTTTAAAATATATCATTTCAATTCAGTTAGTCAAATGTTACATGAACTTTTGATCTTTCTAATGAGAAAAGAAGTGCTGAAAACTTTCTAAATTGTTACGGCAGTTTTATTTTTACTAAATTTAGATGTTTGACGATTGTCCAACTTTTCACGTTTTATATTTGTATGCAAAACAGTTTGACTTGATTACTTGTAATTTTTGGTTTATTTTCTTACATTCTAAATTCAAATTAATTGAGAAAACATGATTTCCGGTTTCTTTTCTGCTCTTTTTGATTTTTTTATTTTTGTTCCGAATATTTGTGCTCGGGGTGGGTTTTTTCTTCAGACAAATTTTGACTTTTTAACTAGCCATTTTTGACGGCTAGTTCAAAATTCTTATTATTATTCAAAAGCTATTGCTGTTCTGAGCTTAAGTTTGAAAAAAAATTTCACCTGTGATTATTTTTTGTGAAGTTATGGGGGTCTAAAAGATTGCCATTTTGACCAATTTGGGACAATTAACGCGCTATATATTTCGCGCTATTAACGCTTAAGCGGAGATTTAATCCGTTATGAAAATTGTTGCAATTTGGTTGAAAGAAGCTTATTTGCCATAATTGATTTATTTTAAGGAGCAAAATCTATTCTTTTGTACTCTATATGGCGTGTGGGGGATGATTTTCATTTAAAAAACTTCAAATTTTAGAAAGTTTTTTTTTCATTTTATTTTATTACATTTAATTTCTAATGCTATTACTGCTCTATGAACCTTAAAGGCAGTCGGGACATTCAGCGCTTTGCCCTGATACGAGCGGTCTTGTTTTTTATAATTTCTTAAAATAGTTTTCTATAGTTTTTTTTATAGTATGTAAGAGTTTCTATTTGAATCTACTTAAGATTACCTAAAATTTTTCTGAAGGCTCAGGTAAAACACTCATCGAATGATAAAATAAACGCAAAAAATTGATGGGCGGTTATCAGGCTTTAAACATTCATCAAATTTTTCTTCCAATTTTTGAAATACGTATATATTGGGGCTGATTTTTATTGTCAGACCAATTTCAATATTTTACCCGGGTTGACCTCCAAAGACCGAAAATACCTGTCATACATTTCCATAAACTAAGTCTATAAAAGAACACTAGCCATACAAATTTCATACCTTTTGCTAAAATTAAGTCATCCAATTTTCAAAGAACTTTCTCTTGATTTGGCGTAAAGTTTGTTGTATCGTCATAAACTAAAAAGAAAAACGTTTTGACAACAAAAAATTTTAATCAAACAACTTCCATTTTTGAGGAAATTCTATGGCTAGCGTTTTTTTTTGATGGAGATAGTCAATTTTTTTTTCAAGTAGTATCGAAGCTGCCCCAAAAAAATTTTTGTGTTTTTTTTTCAGTCGCAAAACGAATTTTGTTCCCAAGCAAACATTTTTAAAAAATTTCACATGCAAAAATTAGTTTTTGTGTGCATAACATAGCCCTGGATACACAAAAATTGATTTTTTTTCTCTATTTTTTTAGATAATTTTGCGAAAAAGCTTAAAATGCCTATTTATTTGGTATGGCATGTTTTTGTACGCCATGATCAATGCATGATCAATAAAAAAACAAATTTAAGAAAATCGGTGAAATTTTTTCCAATTTATCACACCATTTGTTTTGGTCAAAACTAATGCAATTCAGGCCGTTTCTGATGCATTTTAATTGCGAGACGGCAAATTTTTGGTGACTCTTTTGGTGACTTGTGTTCTGTTACGAATAAAATCCAAATAAAAATTTTGAGAAACTAAATTCTTAAAAAAATCAAATTGTTCGGTTTCTGGAAAAATGCTAGTCTTGCAGTTTCCATATATGAAAAGTCACTAATCATAGACCTTTCATGCATTTTTTTGTACCGATGGAATTGCATGAGAAGTGCATGATTAACGTTTTTCCATATATGAAAATTGTATGACTAGCATTTTTGATCAACCCGGATTTTTTAAGATCTACTTGAAGGTGGTGTATTCTGCAACAGTTTCACTAAGTTAGTGTGGTGATTTAGTGGGGACACAATTTCAAATGTTGAAATGAGTGTTATGAAAATAGCTATTTGTTGAAAAACATTTTAGTTTTTTTAATCAACTTTGAAAATGTTGAATTGGAATAATATGCTTTTTTTAATGAAAACTGGAAAAACAAAAATTCCTTATATATGTCGCATTATAGTTGGTTCCTTATGATTATTAAGCGGCAGGTTGATCGCTTCACAAGCAATTTCACATCAGGCCAGCTGCATCATCCTATCAACGTGCTACTCGGCGCAAAACATCATTTTGTACTTTAAGTGTAGAAAAGAAGATCTGCATGACCAAATCGTTTTGTCCTAAGGCGTTCTTTTTCTTTGAAAGGATGTGATTTAAGCTGAGATAAAATACGTGATTTGATTTTGAATTATTTTGATTGATGAGTTAAAATTTGTAATTAAAAAAGTGAACTTTCATAACAATGATATCCGGTAGCTAAGCTAGTAGCCCAGTAGCACAGAATGATCCGACCACACAGGTTCAAAAATCAAGAAAAAGTTTCCTTGTTTTTTTTTAAAAACTTTTGTTTGTTTGTTTATTTTGTTATTGCCAGTTGTTTTTAGTTTGCAAAACAAAAAGAATTGATTGAAAAAGGATTAAATGAGTCTGAATATTAGCTTAAATTTTTTTAAATAATCAATTAGAATTTAAATTACCGGAGGTTAGCCTCTATTCGTCTCATCTAACTTAATCAGATAATTGAAAAACATCAGACCCGTTTTTTCAACACCGAGAAATTTTCAAAAATACATTTTTGGAATTAAACACATACAAGCAACCTATACAGTGAAAACGGGGCGAAAAAAAGCTTAATAATCCGTAAAATTTCATCCATAGCTTCTTTTCACGGAAAAAGAATGGTTTTGTTTTTTGATAATCTCCAAATTTTTCTTAACAAGTGGGGATTAGCGGTTTTTGTTAATCCATAGCATTTTGATTTGGTTGTACTTGGGCTATTAGTTTCAATTGAAGGGAAAAATTGAAAACGAAAGCGAAACTTGGATGCGATTGTGTTACTCTTCAGTCTTCATGCACTATCAGGCACCACTAACAATAACTGGATAGAGTGGAGTGAGAAAAAACATGAAACGTTTGTTTTTCTTTTGTTATCTGAGCTGCAATGAAATCTTGTTTTTAATAATCATAATCGTAAAGGAGCTATAGGCAGGCTGTAACAAGCGTAAAGAAGCTATTTTTGCAGTCGAAAATGGTCAAAGTGTGGCAGACTCTAAGCTAAACTTCAAATGAGAGCTTGACCTCACACACTATTGTAGCCTTTGAACACTCGACCTGAACTTTGCAAAATGTACGCGTTGGCGCTATGCTATGTGCTGGTCAAGGAATTTTATTGATAGCTAGTCGGGAAGCAAGTGTTCTTGGCGTTTTCTGTCTGCGTCTATACGTTGCCTCAAAAATAAAACCTTTCTAGTGTCATACAGTTCTTCACAATTCTCGATAGAGCTGTTCTTCTCAAATAATAGTTTAATATGCTCGTACACAATCATTAAAAGAAAGATATCTTTACTCATATAAATATATATATATTTTTTTCAAATCGATTAAATCAAAATAAAGAAAAAGGCCTTATGTTGTAAGTCTTAAGTCTTAAGTCTTATGTCGTACTCAACTGACTCTTTTGTTTTTTTTGTAGTTGCTAGTATATACACAGTTCCCGGGATGACCAAAAATACTATTCATACAACTTCCATATATTGAAAAATGCTAGTCATACACTTTCCATGCAATTCCATACGTACAGAAAATTGCATGAAAGGTCTATGATTAGTATTTTTTTCATATATGGAAATTGTATAACTAGCAATTTTCCATAAACCAAAAATATTGATTTTTTACATTTTAATTTCTCAAAAGTTTTTGGTTGTGTTCGTAACCGAACACAAATGACATAAACCTTGATTACTCAAACGTAGTAACAAACGGTTTGGCCGTCTCGCATTGACAATGCATTGGAAACAGCCTGAAATGTGTTACTTCTGTCTCAGACAATTAACATAACGAAAGTAGTGAACTTATAAATTTTGGCAATAATTTTCAAAGATGATTGTTTCTAAAATTTGAATGTTTAAAATACCAGACATTTATCAAGGCATACAAAAACATGCCATACAAAAGAAAGAGGAGTTTTAAGCGTTTTTGAAAAAAGTTACGAAGAGAAAAGGAAAAGAAAACCCAATATTAGTATATCCAGGACTACGTTATACACACAAAAAATTAAATTTTGCATGCAAAATTTTTTTTTCAAAAAATGTTTGTTTGAATACGAAAATCAATTTGCAGTTGAAAAAAACGCAAACAATTTTTGGGGGCAAATTTTTGTCGTCGCCATCAAAAAAATGCTAGTCATACAATTTCCATATATGGAAATTGTATGACTAGTGTTTTTTTTTTCAAAAAAAAAATTAAAAAAGTCAAAGTTTTCAGTCGTAGCAGCACAAAAAACGCTTAAATGTTTTGCAAGCTGTGGAATTGATTGTTCAAAGCTTTTTTTTTCACAAAAAAAAATTTAAAAAAAATTCTAATCATACAATTTCCATATATGGAAATTGTATGGGTTTATTTTTTTCATACCATTTTTTTTCCTTTTTTTATGAAGAGATACCAATTTCGATAGCAAAACAACTATAAAACACCTTTGAAATTCGATTAAATTCATTTTGCAAAAATGTATGAAATTTGTATGACCAGCATTTTCCATAGACTAAGTGTATGAAATTGTATGATTAGCATTTTCGGTCTATGGAGGTCAACCCGGGTTATTGACAAGGACAAAACGAAGAGAGTATTAATATGTAATGATTGAAAGTCGTTATAATGATAAACACGACAAAACAAGAAAATAATTCGCAGGACTAGTAGTGAGCAACCTTGAATTTTACCCCTTGTAACCATTTTATCACTTAAATCACCCGAGTAAAAACAGCTTGCATTTTTTAAAGAATTTTGAATGTTTCATTTTGAATAAAATGACACATGTTTCCAGTAAAGTTAAAAAACATTGTAAAATTTTTTAATTCGAACCTGCCTACTGAGTAAAGGAGTGCGCAACAGATATAGTAGACGGAACTGTGGTCAGAGAAAAAAAACTCTTTCAATTTTTTTTAAATTTAATTAACGCAAACTGAGAGAAGCAAAACTGTAATTTTTTGTCTGCTAGAGTTTTGAATTTTGTCATCCATTGTGATTGATGAGAACATAAAATTAATTCACACAAAACGATCCGAGATAAGAAACAAGGATAGCCGGTTAATGTGCAAGATGCGCAGAACTTTCTGACTATAGTCTTTAAAAAACTACAAACAAGTTTTTTCAAATGAGTGTAATTTTTTTAAATTAGTGTAGATAGCTGGTAACTGTGCATGTAGCACAGAATGTGCTGAACATAGTCTTTACAGCGACGTTTTTCACGCCACGCTATCCTTGTTTGCTATCACAAATCGTTTCGTGTAAACTAAATTTTTGATTTTGTCAGTCTTCGCTTCACCACGCCACCCAGAAAAACTACACTTATTTGAAAAAATGTGTAGTTTTCAAAAAACTGCTCAGTAAACACTCATCGTCAAACCGATTTTTTGTTTCCAATCAGGGTTTGAATGACTCTATCTGGCGTGCAGATCAAAAATCTGGGTTATGAATGCAATTATAAGCAATCAAAATTTTTTGTTATTCCCATTTTCCCCGCTACTTCGGTTTAAAACAATGGGACACTTCCCAAGAAATCGAAATAAAATTGAACATTTTATTTTGGTTTTTCCTTTTTTTGAGGAGCAAGCCTCAAAAGAAAGCCCGAGCCAAAACCAATGCAAACTCTACGAGGTTAACATTTTCCGCGCTAAATCAAAGACGTTAAAAAACTCGCGGTTGCTCGTTAAACATACATTGAAATCGCTCGTCTTGAAAGTTTGCTCTACCCTGATTATTAAACGTTGAAGTTAAACGTTGAAAATTAAGAAAATAGTTAAAGAAGACGAAACTTATTGTAACCACGAGTTCAGTTAGGGGTATCCAAAAAAAAAATTTCTTTCTTTCCTTGAAGTCCTTATTACATCCTTTTTTTGCAAAAAAAAATTCGAATCTCCGTAATTATGGGAAATCAGATTTTCGTATTTTTAGCTCAAATATTAGACCCTAAAGTGGCCCAGAGCAACATCTGCACTCTCCGTTTTTAGGAAAAAAACTTCTAAAACTATTCATTTTTTTTGTGAAACTACTAATACAAAAATGATTTTTTTTGGCTGAATTATTCACTTTCATTAGTCCGTATGCATATTTTTTAAGCAAATTAAATAAAAAACTGTAATTTGTTTTAAATAAAAATTCTATTTTATTGGGAACTTTTGAAATTATTATTAAAAATGACAATTCTTGCAAACTAAAAAACTTGAGCAGTCAAAACTATAAACTTGACTGGCAGCGGCTGGGAATATTATCGAAACTTCACACCAAAGGATGAATTTTAAACTTTGAGAAGTTTTTCGAAAAAAAAAGATTTCTGATAAAAAACGTCGAATCGTAGGCTTGATCTGCAGTACCCTGACAACCCTCTAAAAGAGTTGAGGTTTGAAATATTGAGAATTTTTCAAATCTAAAATTGAAGAATCGTAAAAAACTTCATTTCTCAGAAATTATAAGGCGTTCAGAGTCAAATTTGAAGGCCATTTTTGCAACCTCAAGTTTCATTGACATCATTCTACCATAGGGTCGTGAATTTGGAATTTTAAAAAAATTTGGGCTGTCACATTCAGAGGCAAGGATTACAACCCCTCAGAATACCCTGACTTTGTCTCAGCATGGAGTCGTAATCCCAAACTTGTTTTGTTTTTATCTAAAATTTCCTACAGCTTTTGAAAAATTCACAATAAGAGTGTCTGATCTTGTAAGCTAAAACAATTTGAGTATTTCTTAATGAAGTCAAATTCACTTTGTTGGCAATTTGAATTTCTGAAGAAACGTCAAATCTAGGAAAACAAAAAAAAAGGATTTGCAACCCCTCAGAGTACCTTGACATTGTCTTAGCAAGGAGTCGGAATCCCAATTTTATAGTTTTTTTTTCAAATCTAAGTTTTCTAACAAGTCTTGAAAATTTCACTAAAAAGATTCACTGAAGAATTTGATAGAAAACTTGAAAGTTTTGAGTATTTCATGATGAAGCCAAATTCGTTTTATTGACATTTTGAATATAATTTGCATCTTGAATAATCGGATTTTGCATGGAAATAAAAAAAAACTGAGAAAACTTTGGTGAAAAACAGTGAAAACTTTCGAGTGAAAGCTTTCGCGTTCCACGGACATATACTGAAAATGTATGATGACCTCTAAAATTCGTGAGAAATGTTTTCAAACGTCGACTTAAGCAAACATCCTAAACATCGCGATGTATTGGTAGTATAACAGGTCTACATAAGCACTTCCTAAACATGTGTCATGTGAAACAGCCGTTGATTTTTAAATTAATGCGAGAGCGAATGAGTCGTAAGTCAGTTTTTGATCTGTCATTGACATAAGTGAATGCGACTCCTAAAAATAGTATATGAATGCGGCTAAATTAAATCTAAGCAATTTACTTCATCTATTTTTTCAATTTCAGGGTTTTAAAGTTCGGGAAGATATATTCCAGGAATATACACCAAACACACGACCAAGAGCACTAAAAACAATTTTTGGAACTTTTTTTTTTTATTTTTTCGACCATTAAAATTGGGAGGATCTTTGTCTACGGGTGTGTTTTAGTTTTTTTGTTTTCTAAGCAAACTCAGGTAACACAAATTATCATCAGACTGGATTGAGTGATATATGATATTCCAGCCCTTTCAGTCGTAATTCGAACGCTTTTTTAAAATTTCCAAAAAACAATCCCAGAGTCGAGAAAAACGGGTTTGAAATTTTTAGTTTTTCGTCTAATTTCGACCGAATAAAAGGATAATAACTTGTTAAATTGGCCAATTAAGCTAAAAAAGAATCAAACGAAAACTAATTTTGAAAACTATATTTGGCACTTTTCTGCCAAGAAACATTATTTACAAAAATTTTCAAATGTTCAAAAAAATTGAAAAAAAAATCGAAAATTTTTTGAGATAATTTTCGTTTTTTTTTGTTTGAATTTTTTTCGCAGACAAATGCTGTCGATTATGACCAATTTACTAACTTTGTACGCGTATCTATAGTTTTATCACCACGCCTCAACAAAAACGATGCTAATTTGAAGATTTTTTTAAATTGAATAACTTTTATTTGTTGTTTTTATGAATATTTTCGGAACATTCGGTGCTAGTTGCACAGCAATCGGCTATCTTTGTTTTAGTTTTGATTTCTTTTTCCGCTCTAATTGGAGTAAATAAAAAACCAGAACATGACAAAAAATAATCGGAGGTGAAATATCTTTTTCATTTGAACTCAGGAAGTCGATATCATCAATGGGGAAAAAAAAAGTTTTGTTGAAAATCATATTATTTCGATCGGTGAAAATTGACTGAAAGAAAAAACACACCGAGCATAAATATTCCGTTTTCTTCGAAAGTCGGAACAATAAAGTATTGTTTAAGTGGCGAGGAGAAACTTTAGATTCGGGTGCTTCTTTAGACGCAATGTCATTTTTGAAAAATTAAACGTCATACGGTGGAGTGAAACTTTTTAGTACCAAATTTGAATTGAGACATTCTGAAACTTTTTGCCATTCTCGAACAGACGGTTGGAATTTTTATTTTCTAGTGCAAAGAGTGGATAAAATTGAAGTGGGTCAGATTACAACGAATTAGTTTGTACAATTTGCATTTCCGTAATATTTAGTTTAGTGCAAATCAATCTTTGAGATCGAATTTGGTATATAGCAACATATATTTCTCAATTTATGATAATACAGGGCAATTGCGTACGGCCAATTTACCCTTAAATAGAGTGAAATGGAAATTTAATATGCGTGTTATTAAGAAATCCATAGAGCTGCATTTAAAAAATAAATTGCAACAACTATTTTTAGACAAATTTTTTGACCCCAGGACATCGATGAGTTCATTTGACTAAGTAAAAGTCTGCACGGAAATCTCTTCTCCACTTTTGTTGAACATTTCTCTTAAATATTTCTTTTATACTACTCAATTGGAACAGAACAGTTTTTAATTTAGCTGAAACCGACAGTCGAGAAAGTTCACATCCTGATCAGATGAAGCGAATTAGAAGACGAAGACGAAGGATCAGGAGAGCGGACTCAGAGCAGAGGGGAGATGGGGATGATGGAGGGGCAGTTGGAAATGGGGGGCGGACCAACAGAGTGACAACCAAAGGGACACCAAAAGAGAACGGCAAATGTGACAAGACTGCATACTTCACTGTAAGTAACCCAGTGCTCTTGGAATACAAATATTACCAGATAATAGCAATTTTTTCACGAAAAAGACAAACCTTGCTTATTTCTTGCAAGATTCTTGCAAGATTTGCAGCGTGTTTGCAGTTAATAAGCAAGATTTTGCATTCTCATGTATTTGTTTTAATATTTTTTACAGTACTGTTTTTGGTATGATCAGTAATTTTTGTTCCGAGTTTTGTAACGAAATAACGGAATATTTGTGCCCGGGGTGGTTTTTTCTTCAGACAAAATTCTACTTTTTAACTAGCCATTTTTGACGGCTAGTTCAAAATTCTTATTATAATTCAAAAGCTATTGTTGTTCTGAGCTTAAGTTTGAAAAAACTTTTCACCTGTGATTATTTTTCGTGAAGTTATGGGGGTCTAAAGGTAAACATTTTGGCAAAATTGCGACAATTAACGCGCGATATATTTAGCGCTACTAACGCGTAAGGGGAGATTTAATCCGCCTTAGAAATTGTGGCAAATTGATTGCACGAAGCCTATTTGCCATAAATGATTAGTTACTTGGAGCAAAATCTATCACTTTGTTCTTTATATGGCGTGTGGGGGAAATAAAAATCCTAAATTAAAAAAAGCATAATTTTATTTTTTTACATTTAATTTTTTTTCATGTTTTTACTTCTTCATAGGCCGGGAGTCGAAACATTCAAGGATTCGACCTGATACGAGCAGTCTCTCAGCAAAATAGGAGAGCTCAGAAATCGATTTGGTAACCCCCCCCCCCCCCCCCCCCCTCCTTAAGAAAATCTTAGATTGTTCGTTCGCCGTAAACGGATCAACGATTTTCAACAGATCAAAATTACCAAATACGCAGAAATCTGACTTAAAAATCTAACAAGACTTCTATTAAATCCGGGCGAAGCCCTGAATGTTCCGACTACTTTTTAAGCCAACTTAAAAGATTTTCGTTTAAAAATTGGCAAAATAATTGAAAAAGCAAAAATTTTCTTTCAATTTTTTCTTCATTTCATCCCTCCATGCGCTATGCAAAATACAAAAGGTGTCTTTAGCGTCTCGTATTCTTCAATAGGACTAAATTGCTCCCCTCAGTTCAAATAAGAACGCATTATATTGCCACTTAGGCGTGTTATAACAACGCTATATATCGCACGCTAATTATCCGAAATTGGCTGTATTAGTAAAGTTCAAACCCCCCTAATTTTACGAAAATGAATCACCGGTAATTATATTATTTAGGGATTTGAGCTCAAGAAAACAATATTCTTCAGTTGAAAAAAATTCTTAAAAACATTTAGATAACAAGTCAACAGTTGACTGAAATAAAAGCAACCCAAGCTCGAATATTTCACACTTTCCTCGAAAGTAGGAACAATGAAACACCAATAGCGATAAAACTGTTTTCTGTACACTGCGTAATTTTGGAGAAGTGGTACAAATAAACTGCTGAAACCTTGTGACCATTAAACAAGGACACATAAATGGGCAACGGCTATTTTTTTTCGGTTTCTTTTGTTCCGACGACATCACGAGATTATGGCGTAACATGTTTCTGTTTGACATTAAATCCCACAAAAAAGCTCGTAGAGAGTCAAATGTGGTATCATTTGGAGCACTTTTGTTTGTAATTGGGACAACGAAAAACTCCGATTTAGAATTCAGTGCCGAGAAAAACTGATCTGAGCTTTATTTTTCAGAACAATTTAAACGAAAAGTTGATAATTAATTTTTTTAAGAACTTATTTGTTTTTCATGCAATGAGAATTGTTTTAACCAGCAATTTTAATGACCGCGGATTGGTTGTTTTTAAGAAAAAAAATAGGGGGTCAACATTTTTTTTAAAATGCGTATCTCTCTTTATTGATTTTAATCTAATAATTGACTATGATGGCGTTGTCGGGCTAATTCTTCACTTTTTAGACTGCTTGAGCAAAATTAAGAGCTCATAAGAATTTTTGACAATTTTACTTCTTCGAATTGAGCAGAAACAGTAAAAAAAAACCTATAGATAATCCTTTTTGTAAAGGTCTCAAATTGAGCTAACAAAATTTTCCGGTCTTAATTTTTCTTGTGAAACCTGATTGGAATGCCCTTTTTTGAATCTTTGATATATGTTTTTGAATCGATGTGAGTGTACCCTGATTTTCAAATAGTCATTCCAAATAACACATAATCCTTTATTATCTTTGGTAAAAAATCTTTTTTCTGTAACCTCATATCGTAACAGTGAGTTGATTGTCTTATACCGTTCAAACCTGGTGGGCGAAATAAAAAGTGGGCTGCGATTTTCGACGACAAACACTTCGTGAACAGTGCTCAGATTTGAAAACTATAGATTATTGCTGGTAGAATTTTTTTGCACAAAATGCGTTTATTAGACTACATATCTTATTTTGTTTTCAGCATAACATGTTGGTCTTTGCGAAAAGTTTCTTTTTGTACATGTCTAGTTTTTTATAGATTAAAACCGCAAAAACATTTAGTTTTTGTAACTAATTTAATCGTGGATTAGTACTTTCATATAAACATGAAAATCTACGCACTAAAAATATTGTGTCGCTCATATCGATCGCATTTCGGTAATTTGTACCTTCAATAGTTGTATTCGGAGAATAGCCTAGTAGCTTATTTGAAGTGACAAAATCCGTTCAGCCGGCAAAAGAACTTCGTTGCTTGTTCTGACTTTCGGAGAAAGTAAAGATTATTCGTGCACTGAGTAATTGTTTTCAATCAGTAAACTTTTGACTTTTCAACTAAGGATTTTTGATGGATTTTTTAACTTTCTGAAAAATATTCTTTTTGTGAGCTCAAACTTGAAAAAAAAATTTCACATGTGATTGTTTTTTGAAAAATTACCGTGGGTTTAAAAATTTCTAATGTGGCCAAGAAGAAATTATTAACAAGGATTTATTACGATCTTATAACACGCATAAGCGGCGATTTATTGCGTTCCAAATCAGTTAAGGTCAGCAATTTAGTCATATAAGAACAATACGAGACGCTAAACCCACTCTTTGTACCTACATAGCGTCTGGGGGAATAAAATGAAGACTGCTCGTATTAAGGCGAAGTCCTGAATGTTCCGAATGCTTTTTACGACATTTTGTGTCGTGCTCGCATTTAGAGACAATAGAAAAAGAATCAAAAATAGTTTTTGATATTATTTCTGAAAATTTCCTTTTTACGCTATTCAAGTAGAGATAGATATAAATAGCTTAGACATTTTGAGAAAATAAAAAACTCAAATATAGTTTTTGATTTTTTTTTGGGAAAATTATCCCCTACACGCTAATCAAGTAGAGCTTGATATTGTTCGCTTAGCAAAACAGCGCGCCTTATTTCTAACGATTTATGGAACGATATCGAAGAAGGACTTAATCTCCGCTTACGCTCAATAGCACGAAAAATATCGCGCGTTAATTGTTCCGAATTGGCCAAACTGGCAAAAATTAAACCCCCATAATTTCATACAAAAATGATTACAGGTGAGATATCTCTTTAAATTTGAGCTCAGGACAACAATACTTTATAAAAAATAAAAAAAAATTGCTCAAAAATTATTGGAGAAAAATTTGTTTCGAGAAAAAACACCCAAGCACAAACTTTCCGCCATTTTCTTCTAAGATATCCGGAACAAGTTTTTTTTTGTTCAATCATTTAACCAAAACATTTTAATTGGCCTTAAATTGCAATTAGGACATTCAAGGGTTCGCCTTGATATACGAGCAGTCCTGTTTGATTTCGTCAGTGTTCAGAAATAAGGTCAATTTAGTGCTCTGAAATTAACTGTATCTTAAGAAAAAAACATGAATAAGTTTCCAAAAAGTATTTTGCAAAATTTTTGCTCAATGAACTTTAAGGTTCAGCTTTTTTACGATTTATTTTTTTTCTGTTCAGAAACTTTTTGTATAATTGTACAATTTTTTTTTCTTTTTTCAGGACATCAGAGAACGTGTGTTCAATTATGCTTTCTTATAACAAAGCTTTAGATTTTTTATAAAGCTTTAGATTTTTTATATTTAAATTATTCTTAATTTTATCGTCTACCCCGCCCGTATGTTTAATCATAAGAAAACTGCCTGATTTTTAACGAAATTTGATTGGCATAAAACCAAACCGGATAAAATTAATAACTCGGATAAAATTAAAAGATTTTATACAGTTAATAACTCGTGCACAAAATCCGTGTTATTGGGTGTGTGTGTGTGTGGGGGGCGGGGGGGGGGGGTAAAAGAGATGACGTATGTCGCTTTCTCTATTATGTAATTATATTTTGCTTATTTCCCTGTCTTTTTTCAATAATTGTTTTTAGGCAAGTAATGGGGAGTGCAAGTACTGTCACATAGAGTGCAATGAGTTGGGCTGTGGGGGTCCCTCGGAGTCGGACTGCTTCGGGTGCAAGAACCTCCGCTTCTACGACTCCTGCCTCACCGAGTGCCCATTCGGATACAAGGCCGAAAACCCGAACGAGGACAACCGATGCTACATGTGAGCACGCAACACTAACCCAATAGACTCGTTCAACTTAATATTGCTTGCCTTCCCCTCAAAAAACGGCTTTGTGGTATTAGATTTATTTCGTTCTAAGTAATTCAAACGCAGCGCTAAGATCTTTTGAGCAAAATAATTGTCGGATGTTTTCGGGGTGGAGCGTTTTAACTTGTTCTACGGAGAGTTTCTACGTTATAAATTATACATCATATTTCAACTGCTGATTGGTCCAAATTAATTTCAGTGTAGAATAACTTTGAAAACGAGCGCTTTTGGCTTTATGAGTGCTTCTGTGCGTCTGTTCACTGTGCTTCTGTGCGTAAGTTTCTAGATGTTCGAAAATGAAAAGGACAGAAGTCAAAGAGGTCGAATTTTTTTTGGGTGAAACTGCCTTGAAATCCAACGCGGACAAGCTATCTCTCTCTTTCATGTAATCTTTTTCCTGGTAACTTGGGCAGGGGCGGATCTGGGGTTTTCTCGAGAGGGGGGGGGGGGGGCGTATTTTCAAAAAAAAATTCGAAAATTTTTTAGGCAGACCAAATTGATTTTCTGAGCTCTCTCAAATCATTATAATGACCCTATTCTGACAAAAAAATTCTGCGACGCAGGCTATTTTTGAAAAAAAACTGACCGAAAAGGCGTTTTTAGGCACTTTGAGGAAAATTTTGACCAAAAATCGCGTTTTTTTGGCGTTTTACCCTCAAAATGAGTTAGATTAATTTTATGGTCAGTCAGCCAAAAATGGTTGTCTCAAAATAGTACAAAGGGTCGGCTGCGGGTCGAATCCATGAGAAGAAAGCGTCCCCCCACCTAAATCCGCTAATGATCTTAGGCAAGCGTAGCTTGTTTACATTTTTGTGCAGAGTATTTTATCCTTCTTCGTCATATTTTATAACAATAGGGTAGAACAATTTCTTTTTTGATGCAGGGCCACTTCTATCATGGTTGCTATTATCACTGCCTCAATCTTGCTCACCTGGTTTGTCATCAGTACCCTCTCGAGGTGCTACTATCGCAACAAGTACCGCAAGACCACCGCTGCCTCCACATCCGCGGGATCCCGACAACCCCGCGGACGCTCCGATACTCTGAGTGACCGCGAACGCGAACGACTAGGAGTGGGAGACGGAGAACCGAAAGCTTTCTTAGAAGGGTATCTTCTCTCTTCTAATCCAGACGCCCCATACTTGCCAGCCAATAAAAAACAGCCAATGAGTCCTCGCACTCAAGCAGATTTCAGCCCAAGCACTTCTCTACGAATGAAGGCCTTACATAGCCAAACATCGAACGGGGGTTCAAAACGAGACTTGGCAAATCTAAACGTCACACCTGAAAAACTGGGCAACGGAAGCATGTTTCAGTTTCCAGCGGTCTCAGTATCCAATCAACGTGGAGAGTACTATGCTATGACGTCATCCAATTCGCCTTCGGATACTTCGGGAGAAATAGTGGAGCCACATTTAATCTCGACTTCGTCTCATACAAGTTTGCGACATGGTTCCGGCTCGCCACAAGGCCAGAACGTATACGACATCAATTACTTGTCGGACAATTTAGGAAGCCCGAGTCCGTCTAACGAGACGAAACTTGGAGTAGTGTTTATGAAGCGCAATGCACAGCCAAACAATGCACAGTATGATCCAAATAATAAAATTGTATCCACTTAACCTATTGTAGCCTTTGAGTAGAACTTGTTAAAAACAATTTTCGTATATTTTTGGTAAATTTTTGGTTTTGAGTTTCAATTTCAATACTAACACCAACATATTAGTTTTTTCTAACTTTCAGAAATAAAATAGCAATAAGATACACTGTATAATAAAATTAGCGATACTCTGAATGTTCAGTTTGAGATTGGAGCTATTTTAAAAGTGGACGGATCTAGAATTTTCATAATATTTTGGATTTTGTCCAAAAAAATTTCAATTCGTTTTTACGCCAACCAAAGTTTTTGCGAGCTCCCCTGAAACACTATTTTTAAAAAAGCCTCATTTTTCTCTTAATGATTCTCTTATTCAGGCAACGTTTCCGAGACGTTTTCTAATTCTGGTACGTTTTGGGGGTTTCAAATATTGAAAAGTGTCGCGCGTTTCGTTTTTTGCGCTCTACTTCGAATTTATTTCCCAATAGATTTAAAAAACAGCAAAAATTGTCCCAATTATTACACATACTCCACAAATAGACCCACTTGATGCTCCGAACAATTTTTGAACTTGTTTAAAGTAGTTTGGAGCAATTTAGGTGCTAGCAAACAGATTTGATTGAGCTCAACTAGCCTTAATAGAATTAACGAGGTGATTTACCTAAATTCTCTGCCTCTCATTTGGAACGTCGGTGGTTCGAGGCCTAACATGATTCGTGCTCGTTACTTGCCGGTTAGGCAATGCTTTCATGCCTATCAAACTGTTGTGAAGTATTGCACAACAGTGAATCATGGGCACAGCAGTGATTCCACGTAAAGATCCGAGTAGCTCATATGTCGTGGTTCTTCTCTGTGGATAATTCGTGTTTCTAGCGCCAAACTTCAAAATAGCGGAAAAATTTTGATGAACACTGAGTCAAAATCATGGTCGATTTGTAGCTATACGTTTTGAAACAGGTAAAAAACGCCCAAAACGGTAATTTTTCAAAACTTTTTGTCAACTATTTCCACTTAGAGGGCTGCCAAAACATTATATTGACCGTATCTAGTAAAAATTCTCAGCTACTTTACTAAAAGAAACAATGGGTCGATTGATAGATACTTTTGTTTTAATTAGTAACTCAGTTAGATCTCAGTTAGATTTTATCATAGATCATAGTCGATCTTGTCCAAGAGTTAAAACAATTGTTATATAAACGAGTAAATTAAAATGATGATCAAATAGAAATGAGATGTTTGAAGGTTGTGCAAAACTGTTCATTCATTGTTAATTTTTACCAATGGGATGGGAATTCTAATTTATCAATTTAATTCTTTTCTCTCCTGCAATATTTTGGTGGGAGTTAGTAGAGATAGGATAGAAAAAATTATTGTCCGCGTCCGCTGCTGGTCGAGAAACGCGTACATTGTCCAGTTTCCGCTGTCGATTGAGAAATTTGTCCCACTCGAGGTTGGTTGCTCTCGGTGTCCTTTTGAATTGAGTTTTTGCCTTGCGAAATTATTTTACTTAAACGTAGAAAGTTTTGCGTGACTCCTAAGGAAAAATACGACTAGAGAAAAATTAGGAAAAAGAAAAGAAAACTCAGCTGTCTGTTTGGGCAAAAAAAATCAGAGTCACTGAAAAAACAAGCAGGCTCATCCGAAACAATAAAAATTGAGTTTGGTTCTCCCTGCACCTGCTATTAGCCTTCAGTCCTCTTTTAATCCCTTATCCTCTTTTTGATCAGGAGACAGACATTTGCATTTTTTGATTTTTTCTTTATAAATTAATATTTAATTCAACTGGGAGAACTCATATTGTTTTCACCTTCTGAGTTACTTTAATGTTCAGAGCTGTGGGGGATTCAATTATTTTCAAAACTGAAAATCAATAGGAATACTCCTCCTAATTGGCGTCGTGGTTAAATTGTAAGTTCCCTCGATCATGCCTAAAATCTTTGCCTTTTTCCATATTTAGTAAAACTCAACGAATAAAAAAGCGTTTAGATATCGAGAATTTAGATATTTGGATTTAAATTTGAAATTTTTCAATTTTTTGAAACACTGAAAAAACCTTCGTTTTCAGCAAAAACTAGCAAAAATGAAGAAAGGCTAGAACCTGATCATCGAAGCATTCCTCGAAAAATGGATTGAACAAGGCAACAGATCAATTGAAGAAGGCGAAAAAAAGCTAAACAATTTAAGGCCATCAAACATTTGGAGGTCTGGGAGGCCTAGAATTTGAATAAAATTATTCCAGCAAATTTGAAGAAAATTTTTGATAGGTTTTTATTTGAACATAATTTCAACGGCCTGAAAGTTTTCAGCGTCTTGCTGCCTTTCCAACTGATCTGTTGCTTGTTGTTTCCGTTTCGACGGACGCTTGAATGGATAGGTTTTGGTCCCTCTTCGTATTTGTTAAAACTGTTGGCGTGAACGAACATGTCGTGTTTAGAAAATAGAAGACAGCGGAATTCATAGGTTGATTAAAAAAATTATTAGCGATTATTTTTGCAGCGAGTAATAATGATTTTTAAAAAATCATAACAATAATCATAGTAAAGATAATCATATTATTAATCACAATGATAATAATCATAATCAAAATAATTGTAAGAATTGTTACCCTTTCGATAAACAAGGGTATTGCAATAGGGTATTAGATTTTTATTGTAAAAAATTTGTTAACAGATTTCAACATGTACGCAGTACGCAATACACGACCAACGAATGCAGTATCTGCGTACTATTTGCAATCATTGGTCTATTACAACATTCATTGATAATTATTTTTTAGTGTTTGATTTTTTGGTTTGTCGTTATTGGTTTATTATTGCTTCCGCTTTGTTTTTAATTGCCAACTACATCGTTTACATCAAGTGGTAAATATGCGACGTTAATTTAAAAAAAATTTTGAACGAATTATCGACCAAGTTTATTGCCTCTGATGCTCATTTTTATTGAATACGTCATAAACTTTCAAAACAAGGTTGAAAATTTTTAAAAAATAATTCATAGGTTATGGAAAAATTTCATACATTTAAAAAATATATAGAAATTTCAGAAACGTATTTTTTTGCATGTTTGACACTATTTTTCCCTTGAGAAAAAATGTAACAAGTGTCGTATGAGATTCAACAGTTGTGTTTTTTTCTGGCTGAGTTTTTGTGTTTGTTTTTCAATAGCGGGTGTATGTTTTAGTTTAATTTTTGTCAACTTTTCATATGCGATAAATGCGATATCTTTGGGATTTTTTATTAGTTATCAAAAAACTTTTCAGTGTTTCTGCAAGTTGATTTTCATGACAAGATTGTAAGCTTTGAAGTCAGTTTTTTTGGTTTTTTGGTTCTCCACGTTTTTTATTTTAATCTATAATTTTTTTCTAGTCTCAGAGCCACTGGAGAAATGGTTTCATGACTTCCCACCTAACCACGCGGCAACAAGGAATTTTGATCATATTTAAGTTTTAAAGATAAACCGAGCTTGTTGGAGGGTCCGAACATTCTGGATAGCTTGTTACGAGACAATAAGGCCCTTAACTCCAGCATCTGCTTGAAGCTGAGGGTTCTTCGGCTAAGAGTTTGTTAATCATGACGTCTTCTTGCTCACAAAAAAACACCTCTCTAACAATCGGCCAGAATCTTATCAGCGATTGAAAGTAGAAAAAATCCCTATGGTCGACTGTTTGACGTCAAGTATCTTAGTTTTAAGTGGTTTTCATCGTCTTGACTTAGCCAGTTGATTCTTGGTCTGTTCAAGGGCTAACGAACGAATGTGCTTCGACTTTTAAGCAATCAGACGACCGAATCCTACTTAGCTTCCGATTTATTTATAAATGCAACCACATAGTTGGGTCTCAAGTCCCCAGACTACGTAGTTGCATTTAAAAACGGGGCTGGCAATCACATTTAAATCTTTCGATTAGTGACAGTTATATATCAGATCCATTAGAGATGGATTGACTGTTTCCTCTCCTTCAGCTACTCATGATCTGAAAGGTAGATTTCACGGAATGGAATTAAGCTATTCAGGGCAAAACATCAAGCAGTAAAAGGGAGCCTAAAAAGTTGTTCGAGAGGTATCAGGCACAGGGCCTCCGAGTCCAATCTTCCCGAGAAAAAACCTCCTTAATTCTTGAATTCCCAGAATCTGGAGGGCTAGGATTCGTCCCACATTTGCCACTGAATCATCCGGCTCCACTTGACTCTGCAAGTAATTTTCATACCGCACAACCGTGTGGCATTCAGAAGCTTCTTCTTCTCTTCCTCGCACGACTTCTTTTACCATCTTTATTGGGCTGATGTGTGATTTAATTTAACATAGTATATAAATTTGGCAAATTTTTGGTGTTTCTGACAAATACCAAATCTCAAAACAAATTCCTACCTTGCTTTTGATCTTATTTCCACCGTCATTCCCATCAAACGGTTTGCACGTCCCTTCTGGCAGAATGACACAATCGGTGGATTATTACCCCACAGACGGTTTATCATCTTTTTTTTCGTTCAAATCCAAAACTTTGACGAGCGTTGACCGCTGAGTTACCTAGCCGGTCGGCTACCCTAAGTGGTTCGCATTGGAAATGTTTTATGCTTCACTCATAGGTTTATCTCATGGTCGTTTAACTTATCTAGTTCCGTCAAAATGAGCTGTTAAACTCTGTGTATCAAAATCTACTGGCCAATAAAATTTTGAGACGAATTTTTCTAAAAATTTGACGTCTTTTTGATAGGATTTTTGTTGTCTTTTTACTCTATCGACCCTATAGCGTTTGGTGAATAAGCTGCATGTGTACATTTTTCTTTTGATATTCACCCTTTTCACAGAAACATAGTTATTAAACATCTTGGCCCAGGCAAGATTGAGTGAAGTAACCGCCTTCGCATAATAGTCCTATATTGAAGAATTTTTCCGCAAAGAGCTGTTCCTCATTTGTGGCGCGAAGAGCCGCTTCTCATTTGATAAAAACGCTTTGGGACAACCGGCGCTGTGTTTATCTTGAATACGAGTACTTACTGCTTATCCAAAAAGAAACCATTATCCTCAAAAAGAATGACTTCTAATACTGAAAAAACTATCCATTTTAGGTCACGGTTTTTTGTTCAACCACAAGTTGGG